GGATAAAGATTGTTTCTTTACACCTCTGAGTTGACCTTAATCTTTTACTCTCCTCTCGGTGGTTCTATCCATACTAGTCCAAAATAAGTTACTGAAGAACACAATATAATCATTACATAACGTGTTACAGAAACATAATCCATATGAAAGTTTGAGTTACATACTGAAGGATAACATGGCTGCCCCTACATGATGGTCGGACACATACCGCCCCCACGATACATGTTAAGGATACGTTAAATGAAAAGGAAAAAAATACATAGGCGGCAAGGAGGTTAAATGAAGTGTGTGTGTGTGTGTGTGTGTGTGTGTGTGTGTGTGTGTGTGTGTGTGTGTGTCTACCTGGCCCCTAACCTAACTCTACTTCCTCGGCTGTGGCCTTCAGTACTGCTGTCATCTCATGTGCCCCAGGGACCCGACTAGCTACTCCCCACCATCCTCTCACACCAGCCAACCCCTCCCTGCTCTACCCCCTGGGACCCCCTGCTTCTTCCCTTGCCAACCACCACAACTACTACCACCACCACTACAGCTACTACCATCACCAACAACTATTACCACTATCACTACTACTATTACCACTACTACTATTATTACTACCACCACCACTACTTTTTTTTTTTTTAAACGTGGCCTCCATCCTCCCCCAATAGCCACACCTTCGCCACCAGTTAATTACCTTAATATTAAATATCCTAATACATAAGTAGCTATCCTATCTGTGTTAAATTAGTTGAGCCAAATCCGGCATTCAGTGACTGTAGCCTCATAGTCAATATCTGCAGCAGTTGTCGCAGTTAGGGCAGAAGCTCTCGTTCCCCTGAGGCAGAGCAAAGCCGACCGAAGGAGAGAGAAAGACAGTCGACATCTCATCCAGGCTGTAACAAAACTTCTGGGCTGCTGTTTCTACCACCACCACTACTACTAATACCACCACCACTACCACTAATACTATCACCACCATTTCTACCACCACCACTACTACCACCACTACTACTACCAACACCACCACTCTTACCACCACCACTAATATCGCCACCACCACCCATACCACCATCTTCCCATCAGGAAGCAGCCCAAACCGGTCACAAAAACACCAACCGCACTCTCTCTCTCTCTCTCTCTCTCTCTCAAGAACAAAATAACGAACATGAGGTTACATGAATATCCTAATATTACGTCGCCATCACATACACACACACACACACACACACACACACACACACACACACACACACACACACACTTGACACTCCATCAGCAGGAGTTTTAATGCACTATACAACTTAAGTTCGTCATGAGTGGAAGGATGTTCCGTAGTGGTTGAGTGAGAAATATTGGGTAAACTCTCATCTATGGTAATTATATCCTAAAACAACTGTCAGGTGAGTCATCGGGTGGTTCAGACTGTCAGGTGAGTCATCGGGTGGTTCAGACTGTCAGGTGAGTCATCGGGTGGTTCAGACTGTCAAGTGAGTCATCGGGTGGTTCAGACTGTCAGGTGAGTCATCGGGTGGTTAAGACTGTCAGGTGAGTCATCAGGCGGTTCAGATTGTCAAGCAAGCCTCCAAATGGTTCAGACTACCAGATGGTGTAGTTACGGTGAGTCTGGACGTAAAATCGATTCCTACTTGCTGGCCAGGCAGATAGATACGTTTCTCACATCATGTAAGGGAGCACAAAAAAGTATCTTCACACTTACAATCCTTGAAGAATCTGAGCTTGATTTCCTACAAGTACAGTCAAAAGTTAACTTGTTTTTACCCTTAAGTGAGGCGAAGTGGATGGATGCTCTTAGACTAACCAATATGGCCGCATATCATTCCTAAGAATATATAATAAATAACTGCTGTTTCTCTCTCTCCCGTTAACAGGAGGAATATCGGGAGAGGTTAATGTTATGATATCGGGGAGGTTATGTTATGATATCGGGAGTGGTTAGTGTTACGATATCGGGGGAGGTTATTGTTATGATATCGGAAGAGGTTAGTGTTATATTATCGGGAGAAGTAAATATTATGATATCGGGGAGGTTAATGTTATGATATCGAGAGAGGTTAGTGTTACGATATCGGGAGAGGTTAATGTTATGAAATCGGGAGAGGTTAGTGTTATGATATCAGCAGAGGTTAATGTTATGATATCGGGAAAGGTTAATGTAATGATATCGGCAGAAATTAATATTAGGATACAGGGGGAAGTTAATGTTAGGATATCGGTTGAGTTTAATGTTAGGATATCGGTTGAGGTTAATGTTAGGATATCGGGCGTGGTTAATGTTATGATATCGGGGGAGGTTATTGTTATGATATCCGAACAATAACGACCTGTTTGTTAATGGTTATTTCATTCTTATCGTCATAAAATTCCGATATCTTAACGTTATCTATTGCTACGTCGGACACTAGAGAATACCATTACGATAACTTATCAATAACTTTTTTGGAGGAACCTAACCTAACCTAATTTAACCTAATCTAACCTAATTTATCATAACCTAACCATACATAACATTACATAACAAACTAATGATTTCCTTTAATTCTTCCATCTGTTCCTTTGTTTCTTCTTCTTTTTTCCAAATTTTCTTTCTTTTCTGTTATTCTATTATTTCTTAATCTTTCACCTTCTCCTTCTTACCTGTGTTTCTTTTTCTTCATGTATCTCTTGTTGTGTTCCTTCTCTCTTCTGCTTTTTGAGTTTTTATTCTTTCATTTCACTCACTTTTCTCTCTGTTTCTCGTCTTTCGTAAGGTTTTCTCCCTATTCTCTCTATCCCTCTTTTACTCGTTTTTCTCCCTTCTCTATTACTCTTCATTTCCTTTATTCTATTCTCTCTTTTATCTTACTAACTTCTTTCTTTTTTATCCTTCTATCTTCTTGCTGTACACCATAGGCCTCAAAGACCACCCCATTGACCTCAGAGGGACAGACAGACAGACAGACATACAGACAGACAAACATACAGACAGACAAACAGACAGACAGACAGACATACAGACAGACAGACAAACATACAGACAGACAAACAGACAGACAGACAGCAAAACAAACAACATAGAGGACACAGCTAGACACATACATTCAGAGACCAAAACAAAGAAGACAGACGAAGAGACAGAAATACTCATGGACAGATGGAAAGACACCAAACCAAGAGCACGTGGACAGATGAAACAGATTGATAAAAACAGAAAAAAGACAAACTGACAGACAGACAGACTGACAGACAGACTGACAGGTAAACAAATAAACCTTCCTCCCCTTGAGACTGGTGAGGACAGCAAGCAGCTGGTGGACAGTCACGCACATTTTGGTGTGTGTGTGTGTGTGTGTGTGTGTGTGTGTGTGTGTGTCCGTGAGTGTACATGCGACTTACATGTACAATTGTTACACTGATGGAAGGAATGGTGTCAACTCGTGCATGTACATGTGTGTGTATGTGCATGTATGAGCACAAGTGGGTGCATGTGTATGTGTTTTTATGTATACATGACTGTACACTGGTGAACAGAATTGTGTCACCTATGTTTAAATGCCTCCTGTATAATAAACTACAGCGGTTTAGTGTATAATAAAGTATGGTTTAATCAGCCAGAGACACCGCCTAAACCCTTAAAGGCGTACATCAAGGTAGAATCCTGTCGCCTCTCTTGTTCAATGTTTACAACGATGAACTGAACTCTATCTTAAGTAAGGAGAGGGATGATATATGGCCAACACCTGTTTTAATAAAGGGGGTGATATATTATATTTAGCACCTGTTATAAGGAGAGGGATGATATATGGCCAACACCCGTTTTAATAAAGGGGGTGATATAATATAGTTAGCACCTGTTATAAGGAGAGGGATGATATATGGCCAACACCCGTTTTAATAAAGGGGGTGATATAATATAGTTAGCACCTGTTATAAGGAGAGGGATGATATATGGCCAACACCTGTTTTAATAAAGGGGGTGATATATTATATTTAGCACCTGTTATAAGGAGAGGGATGATATATGGCCAACACCTGTTTTAATAAAGGGGTGATATATTATATTTCGCACCTGTTATAAGAGAGGGATGATATATGGCCAACACCTGTTTTAATAAAGGGGTGATATATTATATTTAGCACCTGTTATAAGGAGAGGGATGATATATGGCCAACACCCGTTTTAATAAAGGGGTGATATATTATATTTAGCACCTGTTATAAGGAGAAGGATGATATATGGCCAACACCTGTTTTAAGAAAGGGGGTGATATATTATATTTAGCACCTGTTATAAGGAGAGGGATGATATATGGCCAACACCTGTTTTAATAAAGGGGGTGATATATTATATTTAGCACCTGTTATAAGGAGAGGGATGGTATATGGCCAACACCTGTTTTAATAAAGGGGGTGATATATTATATTTAGCACCTGTTATAAGGAGAGGGATGGTATATACCCAACACCTATTGATAACTTTATGATATGCTCATGATTGTTCAGTACGAGATCATGTAAGGCATTTATGGCTGATCATGACGTCATAAGTAAACACCGCTAAAATAGAGCTGATGATTTATCTCTTGAAGGTCTCCAGAGGCTACCGACGTCAAATCTCTCAAGCATGATGGCTGCTTTCACAACAAGTTGGAGAGCTTTACGGTCTGGTCCACATAACTTACGACAGGTGTGACGATGGTGAAATTAATGAGCAGTTTAGGAAGAGTCTCAGTAATAACCAACTCCTTAATAAAGAAAAGTCTCTGAGTGTCGTACATATGAGGCAGGAACAGTCTCAAGGCCACTGTTAGTATCTGCACAATAATGTTCGTTGATCAAAATAACATGTAGTGACTTTAGATATGCTGCAAGGTCTGCCATAGTGACGACTCTAAGCAAGTACTTATGACCTAAGAGAAAAAGTTGCTCACTCATTATCATCAGTGACCATAATGCGGGATTACTGGATGTTGACACACACTGTACTGTACTGTACTGGTGAGGGGAAGCAAACCTGTTCACTCTGATGTACACAGTGGTGACAACACTCTCGCCCGGGTGACTGTCGTGACTTTGTATATTGTAGGGCTGATCCCAGCTGGGATGACTGGTGCTGCAGGGACAGCTGGGGGTGGCTGGAGCTCCAAGGACAGTTGGAGTGACTGGTGCTCCAGGGACAGCTGGGGTGGCTGGTGCTGCAGGGACAGCTGGGGTGGCTGGTGCAGCAGGGACAGCTGGGGTGGCTGGTGCTCCAGGGACAGCTGGGGTGGCTGGTGCAGCAGGGACAGCTGGGGTGGCTGGTGCTCCAGGGACAGCTGGGGTGGCTGGTGCTCCAGGGACAGTTGGAGTGACTGGTGCTCTAGGGACAGTTGGAGTGACTGGTGCTCCAGGGACAGGTGGAGTGACTGGTGCTCCAGGGACAGTTGGAGTGACTGGTGCTCCAGGGACAGGTGGAGTGACTGGTGCTCCAGGGACAGTTGGAGTGACTGGTGCTCCAGGGACAGGTGGGCGACTGGTGCTCCAGGGACAAATGGAGTGACTGGTGCTCCAAGGGACAGGTGGGTGACTGGTGCCCCAGGGACAGTTCGGGCTGGTGCTCCAGGACAGGTGGAGTGACTGGTGCTCCAGGGACAGTTAAGGTGACTGGTGCTCCAGGGACAGTTGGAGTGACTGGTGCTCCAGGGACAGGTGGAGTGACTGGTGCTCCAGGGACAGTTGGAGTGACTGGTGCTCCAGCGACAGGTGGAGTGACTGGTGCTGCAGGGACAGGTGGAGTGACTGGTGCTGCAGGGACAGGTGGAGTGACTGGTGCTCTAGGGACAGTTGGAGTGACTGCCTAGGGGGGCTGCCGGACAGAGTGGCTGGTGCCCAGGACAGTTAGAGGACTGTGCCCAGGCAGGTGGAGGACTGGTGCTGCAGGGACAGGTGGAGGACGGTGCCCAGGACAGGTGGAGGATGGTGCCTAGGACAGGTGGAGTGTCTGGTGCTCCAGGACAGGTGGAGTGACTGGTGCTCCAGGGACAGGTGGAGTGACTGGTGCTCTAGGGACAGGTGGAGTGACTGGTGCTCCAGGGACAGGTGGAGTGACTGGTGCTCCAGGGACAGGTGGGTAACTGGTGCTCTAGGGACAGGTGGAGTGACTGGTGCTCTAGGACAGTTGGAGTACTGGTGCCCAGGGACAGGTGAGTGACTGGTGCCCAGCGGCAGGAGTGACTGGTGCCCAGGGACAGTTGGAGTGACTGGTGCTCCAGCGACAGGTGGAGTGACTGGTGCCCAGGGACAGTTGGAGTGTGGGCTCAGGGACGAAATGGTGACTGGTGCTCCAGGACAGTTGGAGTGACTGGTGCTCCTGATGGACACTGGGAGGGACACTGGTGCTCAGGGACAGTTAGGTGAGCCTGGTGCTCCAGGGACAGAATGAGTGACGCTGGTGCTCTGGGGGACTGGTGCTCTAGGGACGGATGGAGTGACTGGTGTGCTGACCAGGGACAGATGGGGTGACTGGTGCTCAGGGACAGTAAGGGTGACTGGAGGGACAGGTGGAGTGACTGGTGCTCTAGGGACGGAATGGAGTGGCTGGTGCTCAGGGACAGTTAAGGTGACTAGTGCTCAGGGACAGAATGGAGTGACTGGTGCTCCAGGGACAGTTGGAATGACTGGTGTCCAGGACAGTTAGATAGAAGCGACGGAGTGGGTGACTGGTGCTGCAGGGACAGGTGGAGGACTGGTGTGACTGGTGCTCCTGGCGACAGGTGGACGGATGGTAGGGACAGAGTCTTATCTCAGTAACTACAAGTAATGTGTATCACTCCTGAATATTATTGGTTTTCTTGTACATTAAAATAGACATCTCTGAGGTAAGGTTTATCACGTTTATAATTAGTACAACACACACACACACACACACACACACACACACATCTTTGTGTTGTGTACCGAACATTGAGTATATGTTTCTGTGACTACACGACTAAGTGTGTCATGAGTGTTTGACCATGTACAGATGTGCATATAAAGTTAAAGGGTTGAGTTTAACTGTGTAGGCAATTTATTCAAGGTCATAAAACTTGTTTGTTCGTAAGACATATTATGGACAATGGCAGAACGTATTCGGCTTAATGTCTCGGTATTTTACGTTAATTTATATAAAAATACGGAGAGACAGATAGTTAGATTTAAGACAGACAAACAGATGGATAGTTAGATATGTAGATTTATAGGTATATATAAATAAATAACTACATGTGTGTGTGTGTGTGTGTGTCGCGAGAGATATAACAACACTATTTACCCACCAGAAAACAACAAAGTAGTGTTAGTGAAACCAGAAAAGACTAATTAATTCGTGTACAAATAATTGTCGTTCAGTACACTAACAAAACACATTTGGCTGAGAGGTATACAGTTTGACTTCCTTATTGTACGTGTGTTAGAGGTGGAATGATGATGATGATGATGATGATGATGATGATGATGATGATGATGATGATGATGATGATGATGATGGCGATGATGATAACAGCAATAACAATAACAAAAAAATCACAATAGTAATAATAACACTAACATCAATACCGTATATAATATTAACAGAGTGCCATATTCATCACCTTTCAAAAATAGTCGACTTTATCAACGACTACACTACTTCATCTACAGTACTTCCATATACTCCTCCACGATATACTCAGGCTATATACGAGGACATACCAAGATATGGTGTATACGTTGGCAGGGTGTGAGGGTGTAGTAATGACTGGATAAATCTTAACCATGGCTCAAACTACCTTAACTAACACGAATAAACAAAACTAAAAAAACTGCTCTTCCCACTCAACTAATTTTAGCTTCCTTTGTTTAGCTGGTGAATGTCAGCAGGTCGATCTACTTCCTGTGTGTGTGTGTGTGTGTGTGTGTGTGTGTGTGTGTGTGTGTGTGTGTGTGTGTGTGTGTTGTTTGGTATACATGTTATTGCAAAGGAAAGATGTGAATTATTGTTATGTGTATGTATGTATATAAAAAGTACAACACTGACTCACACAACATACAAACACCCATACAACCAAACATATGACTGACATACATATACCTGACTGAACATAAACAAGATTATTATCTACGTGAGAGATAAGAGATTATAGTATTTTTATGAGTTATTTACTGAGGCTGAAGATTATTATAGAGTGAAAGCATAACTAGTGAGATTAGTGTTTAATTAGAATCAAGAAAATAATTATAATTGTGTTCTAGAGATTATAGAAAGATTATTTGGAGAAAATATTAACATTAGGTTGATATAGAGGACAGGGTAAAATACATACATACATACATACATACATACATACATACATACATACATACATACATACATACATACATACATACATACATACAATGAAAGAAACGAAGAGAAACAGACACAAAAAAAAATGACAAAATGTAAGAGAAAAAAAAGAGAGAAAGTGAAACAGACGTAGAGAGACAGACACAGACAGATACATAAACTAAAGGAACAGAGACAGACAGATACATAAACTAAAGGAACAGAGACAGACAGATACATAAACTAAAGGAACAGACACAGACAGATACATAAACTAAAGGAACAGAGACAGACAGATACATAAACTAAAGGAACAGAGACAGACAGATACATAAACTAAAGGAACAGAGACAGACAGATACATAAACTAAAGGAACAGACACAGACAGATACATAAACTAAAGGAACAGACACAGACAGATACATAAACTAAAGGAACAGAGACAGACAGATACATAAACTAAAGGAACAGACACAGACAGATACATAAACTAAAGGAACAGAGACAGACAGATACATAAACTAAAGGAACAGACACAGACAGATACATAAACTAAAGAAACAGAATAAACAAGAACATAAATATATAGACAGAAAACGAGAGAGAAATAAAACAGAAAGATACGAAAAAACACAAACAAAAATATATATCGAGAAATAGAGACAAAAATAAACATGAAAAAGATTCACACCTTACGTAAAAAAAAAAACCAGGCAATTTACACTTTTACATGAACAAATAATAATATATCAGCCTTCATTAAATCTTTGCATATACCTGTGGTTGCGTAACACCTTTATGTAAATGTTGTATAACCTGTAGGTGATGTAATTTTCTTTCTCTCTCTCTCTCTCTCTCTCTCTCTCTCTCTCTCTCTCTCTCTCTCTCAGGTCGTTTTGTAACACACACACACACACACACACACACACACACAAACACACACACACGTCAAAAGAGTTAAAATGAGGACATATCCACGCCACAGTTGCCACCTTTAACCTGGTTTCTATTGCAACTGTGGCAGGCCGGGCTATATACATTTCACCAGGTGCTTGGTTGTAAAGGAGGAAAGAAGGTAGCGGACATGCGGACATGAAGAGAGGGAGAGCGAGGAGAAATGGGTAGTCAGAATAGGGTATTAAGAGTCAATATCGATGTGTCATAAAATCCATGTTTAAAAGTGGGCTATATATACTGTACACTAAATCTTTTACACACACACACACACACACACACACACACACACACACACACACACGAGTCCATGTCTTCTCTCTCACTCTAATATTTCTTTCAATGAGGTAATTCCCCTCTCTCACTTGCCTCGTTCCATTTCTTTTTACCTAAGGTGTTCATTAGATCTTTACTCTCTCTCTCTCTCTCTCTCTCTCTCTCTCTCTCTCTCTCTCTCTCTCTCTCTCTCTCTCTCTCTCTCTGCTTCCCCTTCTTGTTTCTGTTTCATTCCCCCCTCTTTCTCCCTCATCCTCCTTGTTTCCTTCATTCCTCTCACTCTTTCTTCTCCTCCTTCATTTAACATAATATAAGCATCCAACCTATCCAGGGTATTCGAGTTAATGATGATATTTGGTAACTTGTTCCATTCATCCACTACTCTGTTTCCAAACCAGTGTTTACCTGTTTCCCGCCTAAATCAAAATTTGTCTAATTTAAAACCATTGTTACGAGTTCGCTCCTGGTTGGATAGTATGAGTACCTTTGTAATGTCCCCTTTGTTTAGCCCTGACTTCCACTTATACACCTCTATCACGTCGCCCCTCGCTCTACGTCTCTCGAGGGAGTGCAAATTAAGATGCTTTAACCTGTCTCTATACTCAAGGTTCCTAATGCCCGGGATTAGTCTTGTCATTCTCCTCTGAATTCTTTCCAAGGATTCTATATCCATTCTGTAATACGGTGACCAGAACTGAACTGCATAATCCAGGTGTGGTCTCACACGAGCAAGACACAGTTTTAGGATGACCTCGCTAGTCTTGTAACTAACACTCCTTTGTATGAACCCAAGTACTTTATTCGCCTTGTTACGAGCAAAAACACATTGTTTACGTAGCTTAAGGTTCCTACTTATCATTACTCCTAAATCTCTCTAGCAGTCGGATTTCTCTATGGCATCGTTGTTTATCTGGTATCTGGTTTCCCTGATTACATCTCCTATACTGAGTACTTTACATTTGTCCACGTTGAATTTCATCTGCCATTTTTCAGACCATTCGAAAAATTTGTTTAGATCTTCCTGTAGTTTTGCTGAGTCCTCGTCAGATTTAATAACACGTCCTATTTTAGTGTCATCGGCAAATTTACTTATGTTGCTGTCTGTGCCGATATCTATGTCGTTTATGTATATAATAAATAATAATGGTCCAAGTACTGAGCCTTGGGGAACTCCGCTTGTGACGTTGCTCCAATGGGACTTAGTGCCGTTAATGCTCACTCGCTGTTTCCTGTCCTGTAACCATGCCATAATCCATTTAAGGATGTTACCTTTGATGCCATGAGCTTCTACCTTTCTAATTAGTCTTTCGTGGGAGACTGTCGAAGGCTTTGCTAAAGTCGAGATATACCACATCATAATTGTGCCCCTCGTCCACCAATTCGAAAACTGATGAAAAGAATGTTAATAGATTAGTTAGACAAGAACGTCCGCTTGTGAAGCCATGCTGGGAATCATTGATCAATCTGTGCTTCTCCAGGTGATTTCGAATAGAGTTTGAGATGATTGCTTACAGTAATTTGCCTACTATTGATGTTAGACTGATTGGGCGATAGTTAAAGGATAGTGATCTATCCCCCTTCTTGAAAATCAGTATTACATTCGCTATCCTCCAGGATTCTGGTACTACACCTGTTTTTAAGGACATGCTATTTATCTCTCTCTCTCGTTCCTACCCTCTACTCTCCCTCTTCTCCCTAATTCCTCCTTCATTCTTCTTCCTCTCCTTCATTGTCTCAACTCTTCCTCCCTTCACCATTTTCTCCTCCTTTATTCCTTATCCCTCTGTCTCCTACCCTCTCCTACCCTCTCTCCCCTCTTCCTCCTCCTCCTCCTCCTCCATCTTCTCCTCTTCCTCTCTCTTTCCTACCCTCTCCTTTTCTGTCTCTCTTCCCCATCTCCTCCCTCCTCCTCCTCCTCCTCCTCCTCCTCCTCCTACCCTCTACTACCCTCCCTCTCCCCTCCTCCTCCTTCGCCTCTCCCTCCCCCTCTTCTCTCTCCATTCTCATCATATTAGAGGTAATTACACATAGAATGGGTAAGAGGAAATCTTGTGAAGGTGGAGTGTTAATGCGCCTTCAAGCTGGGGGAGTCGAGGGAGAGAAGAGGGGAGAGAGGGGTGGGAGGCGAGAGGGATGGAAGGATATGAAAAGGATGGGATGGAAGGAGAGGGAATGGAATGGAAGGAGATGTGAGGTGATGGGATGGAAGGAAATGAGAGGGATGGGATGAAAGGAGATGAGAGGGATGGAATGGATGGGATGGAATGACATGAGAGGGATGGGGTGGAAGGAGAAGGGATGGATAGAATGGAATGACATGAGAGGGATGGGGGTGGAAGGAGAAGGGATGGATGGAATGGAATGACATGAGAGGGATGGGGTGGAAGGAGAAGGGATGGATGGAATGGAATGACAGAGGGGATGGGGTGGAAGGAAATGAAAGGGATGGGATGGAAGGACATGAGAGGGATGGGATGGAAGGACATGAGAGGGATAGAATGGAAGGATATGAGAGGGATGTGATGGAAGGAAATGAGAGGGATGGGATGGAAGGAGATGAGAGGGATGGGATGGATGGGATGGAAGGAGATGAGAGGGATGGGATGGAAGGAGAAGGGATGGATGGAATGGAATGACATGAGAGGGATAGGGTGGAAGGAGAAGGGATGGATGGAATGGAAGGAGATGAGAGGGATGGGATGGAAAGAGATTAGAGGGATGTTATAGAAGAACATGGGAGGGATGAAATGGAAGGACATGAGAGGGATGGGATGGAAGGAGATGAAAGGGATGGGATGGAAGGACATGAGAGGGATGGAATGGAAGGATATGAGAGGGATGTGATGGAAGGACATGAGAGGGATTGGATAGAAGGACATGCGAGGGATGGGATGGAAGGAGAGATAAGGGGAACAGAAAGATGATAGGAGGAAAGTTACAACAGATAAGATATATTATACAGTATAAGTTTATTATATAACTGTGTATAAAGACTAACTCGCTGTATGGTGGAGACTTGGAGGCGCCGCGGCACAGCTCTAAGGTTATTTATGACTGAGTGTCAACCACAGTTTTAACGCATAAAGAACCGAGGAACAGACCCAAGTCCACCACCATGGCTGGTGTGTGTGTCGTCAGCTGGAGTCACCACACAGTCAGCCAGTCAGCCAACCAGTCAGTCAGTCAGTCAGCCAGTCAGCCAGCCAGTCAGCCAGCCACTA